CCGACTGGAGACAAGTATTCTGGCGTATTTTCAATAACATAGTGATGACGAAAGAATATCTGTTTACCTATCTTAGACGAAAAGATGCAAAATGTCTACGTTGTGGTAAAATTGAGTCAAATATACAGTATTTTCTATGAATATGATATAGCGAGAAGTATTTGCTAATGGGTCTCGAGGGTATGGAGGTACGAATCACTTGGCAAAATGTTAAATTTCATATAAACTATCATTTACATGGGCAGAGTGAGTGTTTTTTAAAATGGATCCTGGCTTTAATAAAAAAAAAAAATAGCACTTTGGAAAAATATATACTCATTAGCTGCAAGGACCCGCTTCGCTGGGTTTTTATTTGTACGTAATATAGTTTTTTATATATATAAAAGACTGTTTTTCTAAGTAATCTAGAATCTAACTGCAAGGACCCGCTTCGCTGGGCAAAAAGTAACGATAGTGAAGATTAAGATAATTACATTATAGCTAATCTTACCCGTTTTCACAGAATGCAAGAATTAGGTCCCCCGTTTCCAGACTAATTAGAGAATTTTTACGTTTAGTCANCAGAATTGACCAAAATTTAATTTATAAAAATCTTTTCGTTAATAACATAAAATTAAAAAATATATATATATATCGGAAATCAATGATAAATGTCAACAGAAGTCATTTTCAGAAGTGTTTTTATATTGGACGAAGGTAAGTTCAAAGCCCGAATGGCAAGGAGGTGGGCCAATACGGCAAGAGAAAAATTTGGCATATTTTCGGTTTTAATAATCTTAAACGAAATTAGACTATAAAATAGATGCAATAGGACTAATTTGTATTATATAAGCTTTAAAATGATGTATAAAACGTAAATGTAATTCATACACAAGTATCTTAACGAATTACAAATAGATTTTAGCGAGGTTGAGGTCGAAGTTTTAAACGCGAAAACGTGTACGTCGGACGTTCAGCGCCGCTTTCCTGTAAGCCTAGAAGTTTGACCATGGTGTTTGGATAGTCAGTGGAATCATGCTCGACATTCCAAACACCATTGTCAAACTTCTAGGCTTACAGGAAAGCGGCGCTGAACGTCTGACGTACACGTTTTCGCGTTTAAAACTTCGGCCTCAACCTCGCTTTTGTCTTAAGGTATGTGTGTATGATAGAAATAGATTAGAGGAGTTTTGGGTCTTTATTTATAAGTACGGTGATGCTTCTGTAACCAGAAATATGCTATAGCAGCTTGTATCTTATTTAGGCCTATGGTAAAATTGATTTCGTTATAGACTACGTCGTTTCGCTTAACGTCGCGACGACGTTCACTGGGACTCGCTGTACGTATGAAATTATCATTGTAATCACTTATACCGAATGGATCAACTTCCAACAGTCGTCGTTGGACTCAGAATAGGATCTAAGATTAAATTATCGCTTACATCATCAATTTTGGTAAGTGAATTTCTAGTTTAAAAAATGGAATATCTTGATTCTCGCTAATAATAAACATATTAACGGGAATCAAGATGCTCCAGTTCATACAAAGATGTTTGGATGAAATCTTTATAAGCTTAAGAAAGTAAATAATTGTTCTAAATATATTCCTCAGTTGACGATTGCTTAATCTTTTCTGAAAGCATTTTTGTACTGTATTAGATTCTCGTATACAGATTACATATTGCATTTACACTAGTTGAAACATTAACATTGAAAATTTCCTTGTGAGAGGCTGAAGATAGCTTTATTCTTCATCTTGCTAAGATATTGAACGACAGGTAAACCTTTTGTAATGTACAATATCTGTAAAATATTAAGTGTGAAAGTAATGTGTCATAATTCACAAATGGAGATTATATCAAGTCATTCATTCTATAAAAAAGAGTTAATGGAAAATAGAATAAAACCATGTATTTCTTTTTTCTTAGGAATAACTAAAACAGACAAATTAATTTAATTCAAAATCAAATTAAAATATTTTAAAATAGAATCTTATATTGGATTTTTTAAACATTATTCCATTATTATTAATCTATTGTGAACGTTAATATCAGAACTTATTAAAAAGAAATGTGATAAGTGGAAGAAAATTCATTAAGAATGTGATTTTAATAAGCTGAAGTATTCGAAAATCGTAAGGAAAATACGCAGAGGAAACAATGCCCAATTTTCGCAAACAATAACAGTTTTTTGATCAGAATTAGAAAAAAAAATTGTTTACAAAAAGGTATTTTCGCATTCTCATCAGAGATATGTAGAAAAGAATACCAGCAATATTGGATGAACATTTTACATAACTTAGAGTTGTCACGTAAAAAGCGAACAACCTCTGCAAATTAGAATTCGTGTGTAAGAGGCATATCAATGCCTTCTACTATTAGATATCGATCCAAAAGTTCAGAATCTGTCATGAAGTATTGAATATTAATTTAGATCGTGGATTAGAAACACAGGTAGGTGGGAAGATTAGTGGGAATGCCATTCGTCATTAATGTCTTATAGCTCATATAATGCACATATATTTTCAAATTATTAATGATATATATCTATATAGATTTATAAAGGGTGATTCATTCAGGACTGAACACTTACTTTGTTCAATACCTTATGATTATACAGTTTCGTTTGAATAACATGTAATGTAAAACATATTTTGGCTTTGGTCGACTGCTTCATCATGGAATGAAGAATCGTTCCGTTCGTGTTTCATGCTATATATTATATGTCATTTTATCTGGAGATACTCCACATAATAAGTGTTCAGCCTCTAGTGAATAAATAACCCTGTGTATCAAATAAATACGAGTATGATATCTAGAAATTTAAATTAGTTTTGATAAAATTGATTGTTTTTACGAAGCTATTTATAAAATATTTATTTGATCATTTATTACATATACTTTATAACCTTATATATAATGTAATAAATTAGATGGTTAAACAAAAATTTCAAATGTTTTCATAAGGTTAATAATAGAAATTATTAGTCCAAATGATAGGTAAGAACAACTTTAATTTAGAAATGTTGTTTTTTTGAGAATATATTCTTTCAAACAAATGGAGTAGCTACGTAAGAAATTTGAATTTTATTAACATTTAACCACAAAAATCTGTCTATTGAAAAAGTTATTTCTGAAACTAAATATTCAAGTTAGAAAAAAAGAGATAGTATCACAAAACGCTTAGTTTTCGAGATAAAGGGTTGTTAAAGTGCTACCAAAATGTTCGTAGACAACGAGAAAGTAAGTTTCTTTGCTAAATTTCGCGTAGATTTTAAAAAAATATATCAAAATCAATTAGTTTTTCAATGGTGCAATATACGTTTTGTAAAGAAATGTGCCACCCCTCACATCTCCGCCCGTGTTGAAAAAAATCACACGTAAATAAATGTTTAAAAATATAGGCTTCCTGGAGCAAAAAGTAAGCAGAAAATTTCAACTAAATATCTCGCATTGTTTCTGAGTTATTAAAAAAAAATTTTTTGTAGCACTTTAAGCGGAATGTGAAATTTGATTTTGCTATAGGTCAGTCAACAGTAAGAATCCTTCATCTTAAACCAAATTTACTTCTTAGCGGAAATCTTTTAATCGCTAACGCGATTGTCCCATGCGATAATGACACCATATCATTATTCTTCTCTTTAACTGGGAACAATTATTAGAATTGTTAGGTTGGTCTCTATAATAAAAAGGGGAAAATTGCTTGTTCGCAATTGGAGTTCGAAAAGAAGAAAAGTCGGTTGAAAAACAAGCGAGTGTTTTTTTTTTTTTTTTTTTGAAAGAAATCTTCGGTCGATGCCAAATGCCTCTGTAAATCTCGAATTTTTCAACTTCAGTTGCTTCTCCAGTGTTGATTTGTGAATAAATTCTCCCCAGGATTTTGAGTCTAATGATTTGTTTCTCTCAGATGTGATCTAACGCAGCATTCCCTTTGCGAAATTGCGAATGCATTGTTATGTATATTTTTAAGTCGAAAAAATGTCGATTTATAAATATACATGGCTAAATAAATTTTTTCTTTGCTATAGTTGAGCTTTTCATTCCATCTTTTCATCGGGACTCGCGAGACACTGATCTTTAAACAAAGCGTTGAGGTTCGCATAGGCCAGTGGTTCCCAACCTTTTTTCATTAGCGTACCCCGTGACATGTCATATCTGTAGATTGTACCCCTCATTTAAGAAATTTAGTGAGTACCCGTATTGTTAATTTTACATATTGTAACTTTAAATTAAAAAAGTAAATGAAAAAATGTATAATAAAGTTGTGATTGTTGCAAGGAGCATTTTTTATCTAATAATTTTTTAATACTATTAGTTTGTAATACATAATATATTATTTTTTCTGCCATAATAACTAACTTTTTTCTGTACCCCTAAACAACCTATCGCGTACCCCTAGGGGTACGCGTACCACAGGTTGGGAATCGCTGGCATAGGCCAATCGCTCGAGCCAGATCGTGGCCCATTCACACCCCGAAACCTCACGAACATATTAGAGAAATTCATATAATCTGTAATACTATTCGTACTTCTCAATTAACATCAGATATTCATTGAAATTTTTTTCTAAAATTACTGTTCCATTTTATATTATTCCTCAATTTTTGAAAAGTGATTTTGAATAAGATTTTATTTGGAGAATTATTTATTTTTATTAATTAAATAATACAATAAACAACGTATAAGGATGAAAACGGCAAAAGACAACGTATTTCGAAACGTTTTATTACGATAATCTGTATACACTTAATTGGCAAAATTTATTAGAATCTATGAAAATTTCCTTAACCTTATGGATGCCGAATAATTCGAAACTTTCAATTGCCAATACAAGTACTTAATCAATTAATTTTTATGCAATTATCAGACTTAATATTAAATGATTCCGTTATCAATAAAGGCACTTAAATATTTATCTTCTATATATCAGAAATTTTTTTTTATAAAATTAATATCTAATAGGTATTTTAGAATATATTTTAATAGTATTATATTTTTAAATATATAATACCGTTTTTAATATATATAAATAAGTAATATATTTATTTAATTCCTGTTGTTTTAGGATAAAAAAGTTAGTGGAAACGTATTTTCTTTATCTAAACTGTCGGTAACACAAATACTCTTTAGAAATATTGAAATTTTTAATATAGTATATGTGAGGAAACAAGGACACAAATCTTGATTTATGATCAGGGTTTTATTTTTTATTTTTTTTATTCTGGATTGAAATTTTTTCGTATCAGTAACACACTGAATCGTTGCCATAATTTTCTTTTTATTATTACAGAACGACAAGGAACAGACAGATTAGATTATTAATTCAGAATAGTTCAGAAGTTTCGGAGGAACTTTATGGAAAAGTGTTCTCTCTCATGCCTGATGTTCCTGCGAAATAAGCAAACAAAATAGTTTCCAATTTTTCCGAGAATTGTGGATAAGGTGGTAATGGGAATATGACAGGCACTGGAAAATTTGAAGTTTTTCTTTCATTTTTACGTTGACGTCTTCGCAAATGTTTCTTCGAGCCTCAAGACACTCAAAACAATCAACTTTTTGATTATTCAGATATATTTAAAAGCATTTTTAAACGGAATTTCGTAACTTTATGTTTTATTTAGAATTTTGAATTTTGTATAAAATACAACAAATTTTTGTTTTTGAAAATTGTCGAATGACTCGAGAAATGGGAGATTTTTTGCAAATTTGCGAAAGACCTATATCACTAATCATTTTGTCGAAACTATCTGATTTGATGTCTCGAAAAACTCATCTGCGACTTTCCGACAACGGATTAATAGCAAAGAATTAGGTATTAAATGTTTAGAAAAAGTGGAAGAAATGCCATTTTCCGGCCACTTATGCCATGCAATTTCGTTGTAGCAGACATAATTTTACGATAAAAGTAAAGATGCAATCTTACTATTGATCATTTAGGAGGATTAACGGGCGCATGCCAGCTTGGGGCTCTGGATTGCTGGAGCACCTAGCTCTTAGCAGGCCATTCACCTTGATCCCAATGAGAACCTGAGCAAATTGGCAAAGCGGGAAAACCCAGGCCCTTTCGCTAGCGCGTCTCTGCGAGCAAAGGGAGAGAGTATCGACACGATGGGATAAATGAAGTAATTATGTTTCTGTTATCACATTTATTGACACCAAGACCCTATAGATAAACTTCGAAAAGGACTGAAACCTCGTTGAAGGAACGAATGGTCTGTCGTAACTGTATATTCTTTTTAGTCCAGAAAAGGCCTCTTAGGGAGCAAAGGGTTGATTTAGGCCTTCTAATTAGCAGGCTACAACAAGGGATAGTTTTCTTTCATATGATAATCCTACAACATTAACTATAGGGATATGTTCTTCTTTCTCATTTCTTGAGGAGAGGAGATCACAGCTTGTCTACCCAATTATCACTTTATCAAACAAAGCACCCTGCAAGAATAATTCTACCATTTTTCAATCTTGCAACAACACTTAAACTTTGATTTTTTACTTTATCTTCTGTTCAAACTTAACGTAGACGTATGAAAGACACGAAGTCTTTTATACATCAACCAACAACATATCTCATTCACCAATCAACAGCAATATTTTCGACATGATTCTGAGTTGATATAACAACAATTAACCGAGCAAAGTACTATTAAGTCGAAATAATAACACAATATTTCTTTCTGGACGAACGCAGCACCAAATGGAGGTCGAATTTTGCAATAAAGTTGTCGTTCACCAGTGAGAAAGCACCATCATAAGGTAGTTTCGTCTGAAAGGAATAAGAATAAATTTTAATTTCAATATACTTTAAATCTATATATTTTCTCATAATAGCGAAAAATTACCTCAAAAGATATAAAGGAAAGTGCTAAAGAATACTGCAAACAGCGGCGTGGCATCCTTGTGCCACAATGGGATGTGTGGACATGTTATTGGGAGGAAAAAGGGACATGCGATGCGCCTGGTTGCTCACTGCCTGCCAGGAAAGAAAAATTACACAATTTAAGGATTTATATGAATAATTAGGTCTACTTTGAGAGGAATAGGTAAACGTCCAGCATTTTCTAAACAAAAATCAATTATTCTAACCTTCCTTATCTCTTCATTACTTCCCATATTAAGTTTGGCCATTTTGCGGCCACTTCCGCTGGAGATATCGCTGATCTGTCCTAAACTATTAGATGAATGTGGCCCACTACCAGACCGAGACTTTTGATGGTCTTGTAATTTATACCATCGAGCCTGTTCGTCAATCACACTTTCAACTAGCAAGAACCATGATTTTGATTATTGAGAAAATATTAAATATTCTATAGTGGTGATGATATGAAATGATAAAAGATTTCCGATAAATGATTCGTATTTCACTTTGAAATTAAAATTTTAAGATGTAAATTTTAAGTGAGAATTGATGAATTCAAGAATCGTTTTGTGTAATTGTTACTATATGTATAATGAAGTTATTATTTAAATGATCAATATTCTAATTTTAGGAATTAGCCAAGACTGATGATGATTATTCCATTGATCTGATATAAGATTTATAAACTATTTTGTAAATTCAAATATCTTCTATAATAATCGAAATAGAGAAGATATTTTAGTTACATTACATTCGTTATAAAATGAATATTGGCAGATAATTGAAATTTAGTTGCTTCAGCAATCCAGAACTCCAATTCAAGTGATGTAGTAATGAAAACAAAATTCCAGACTTGTCCTGACATAGAAACATAGAAATATTTTACACGATTACAAATTAATGCACACTTTTCGATTTAGATTTAATGTCATTGTTGTTAGATCATGATTTAAGATCGGAACCTCTTATATTTTCGAAATAATAAGTAAAAGTGGAGGATTTTGAGAACAATCGTTGTTTTTTAATAATTTAAAATACAATAGGAAAAGTTATATTTGTAAATTACTTAAAGTCAAATAATTCATTAAGCTATATGGAATATATGAAATTTATTATCTTTTCAGAATAGATATTAGCGTATAAAGTAAAAATAAAATATGTATGTATTATACCTAAAATATTTTAAATAAAATTATATAATATATAGTTTTAATTATATGATTTATTTTATGCTAATTGATTCTTCCTACCAGTGCTCTAATGCAGCAGTCGGCAACCGGTGGTCCGTGGACCATTGATGGTCCGTGAGTAAATTTGGGTGGTCCGTAAAAAAATTTGGACATTGACCAACTGAAGGTTACACGAAGTATTACGAAAGAAATGCAAATTGTTTTTTTTTATTCGAATCTAAAACCAAAAAGGAAGTAACTGTTATCAATAAATAATGAACAATAAACAATATTGTGAGTGCGATTGTCGTCCTTCGTGGAAAAGCGCTAAAAATCCATAAACTTGTTGCAAACAAGCAGCAATAAACTTTAGGCTTGCATTAATTTGTTATAATTAAACAAGCGAGTTTCATATTAATTAATTTAATATAGTAAAATTGAACTTTTATGATCATTATTCTACAGATTTCGTATCGTTTTAAAAAAATTTGATAGTGGTCCGTGGAGTCAGAAAGGTTGCAGACAGCTGCTCTAGTGAATAAAACTACTGAATATTGGTAGTTGGTCGTGAGTTCAAGCCTGACCAATGGTCTTGTCACGTGGAGTTTTCCAGGTTTCCTTCACCTGTTTAACAACTAAATATGGACCAATTACTAAAGAAAGTCCTCCTGGAATCTACATGAAAACTATGAAAATTATAATTTTTCTTTTTCTTTTAACTCATTCCACCCCGTGGATACTAAGAGTACCTTTTTAGCAAGCCCATTATGGGTTCGGTCAGGTTCACAATGGAGCGGCCGGGTGATGGGGAGCGATATATCCTAACGGACCATCCCCAAAAAGAATTCATGGGAATTTTTGACCCGTCCGATTCGATGTCGGGTGCCCCAGAGAGATAGCTACCATTTTAACCGCTCTGACCATCTATTTATTATTTGTCTTATAAGAAATCCTCTAGCAAATTTCCTTCGTTTTGCGTTGCCGTATCATATTAAATCAAATCGAATCAAACCGATCAATTATTCTAAGTCTGTACAAAGATTTTATAGAATTAAAATTTATTTTTATATTAAATGTAAATACATTTATAATAAATAATAAGAAATAGATAATATTTTACTCGTTTTCTATTTTAAATAAAAGTATCCATAAAATGTCAATAGCTAATAAAAATAAATTTTATTTGGAAAGAAATTAAAATATTTCGCTTCTGTTTTAAATCTGTTCTGTTATCTCATGATTTACATCATGGTAATATCACAGAATAACAAATGTTAACTGATACCGTTTCAATTTTCTGCNACAAATAAGCTATATATTGATTATTGACCATTTGTGACATGCTATAACGAGCAAAAATTTAAAAAAACTAATAGGTAGGTTTAAAATTAATAAATACAAATGTATTCTGGCAGTGAATGAGTTAATTATGCTTTCTATTTGCAAAACTCCTCAACCTTAACACAAAATAAGAAAAAAAGTGAATTTTTAAGAAATTTGCGGGATTTCCCGGGATAAGAAAAATTTCCCGGGATATTTCCCGGGTTAAAAAAACAACCGGGATCCCGGAATCCCGTTTCAGAAACCCTACCCACCAGTAACCTTGTGGATAAAACCACTAAACACTGGTAATTAGCCATGGATTCGCACCTCGTTGGCGAAGTGCGAATTCATGGCCAATTATTAGTATTTAGTGGTTTTTCTGGTTTTCTTCACGTTTGTAACACCTAAATAGGGGTCAGTAATAGATATGTCCATCCAGGAGGCACACCCCTTCGGAAGATCGCCACATGTCACGTTGCCGTCCACAAACAAAAGAAAACAAGAAATATCAATTTCGTTTTATTGTATTTAAATCGTGTCTTATTATGCCAGAAACTTTTTAATTTCTCAAAATTTAATTTTCAAGATTTCAATTTTAATTCTGCAAGATATCGTCAATAATTATGGGCATATATGCAGATTAATTTCTTCTTTATAAAAAGCATTAAGCTAAAGGGATAAAATGAATATTAAAGGTATGTTTAATGTTCCCTTTAAAATATAAAAAAAACCTTATTATCAAAACTAAATTTACAATATTTAAGAATGACTTACCGCTCACAGAACGATCCTTAGGATCTCTAGTGAGTAGGATCCGTTTTATTGGGAAATGGTACTTCTGTGCTGCCTTGGAGACAGCCGAGCCCTATAGGAAATTACCAATAAATATCATTTTATATAAATAATTTAAAATAAATAAAGCATAATATAAAATAACAATTATGATTAAAATTGAAATTCTAGTGATACTTTTCCTGCATATCAAATTGAGCAACGATGAATTTGCAACACACCAACAAATTATTTTGCATTAAAATATATTCAATGATCTAAAAGAAAATAAAATTTAATTTATTTGTAATTTATGAGATTCTTTATAAAATATAAATCCCATAAAATAGATTAATAGTTATATATGAGTTCCTTATTTTACTACAACTGAACTTAAATCTAATGATTTATCGCTCTCTACGTCAGAGGATTCGAAAGAGTCTCGATGGAGCAATTAAGAAGGTGAATCAGGGATAGTTTCAAGATCAAGAAGGGATGCAGAGAAATGGAACTGTCTACGCAAAATGGCAGGATGCGATTTGTTGATCAAGAAGTGGAATTTCTCCTTGCTCCCCGTTCGTCTTCTATTGTTGCAGACGAGATAATCCTAGCAATTAATTATTGGTGTCTGGACTGTCTTCTCCCCTAGTTGCTTCATCTTTTCCAATCCAGGGGATTTACTGCCAAAAGAAGTTCTCATTTCTTCTCTTCGACAGTTGTCAAATTCTCCTTTCAATTTTGAATGAAACTTTTTATTTTTTTTAGTATAGAATAAGTTTGAAAATTTATAACATAAGTAAAAATAGTAGTTATAAAAATATTGGGCTAACCTTTATTTTATTTTCTTGTCTAACAATAAAAAAACTATTTTTCTGTTATTTTATTCTAGCCGGAAGTAAATTTGATGTTTCTATCTGTTATACTATTTAGAAAGTCACAGTATATTTTCCTTTATCTCAATTTACCTTTCAACGAGAAAGGAATAGAAAGAGAGTATATAAGCTACCATCTTTAATCTCTTTTATTCAGATAAAAGCAGAAAGATAAGAAAGTAATGAATTCACTTTTTCTTCCTAAAAGTAATTAAAGGAATTAAATTTGTTGGCAGAAAAATGAAAAAAAAGGAATATTTACACCTAGTTCTGCTTTTAGTGTATCTTTGTAATCAATCAATAAATTGCGATTTGCAAGTTAAAGCTTCATAAAAAAGTAAAATATTCTCGAAAGAACTACAAAACTTTGTGCTTAATTAGGTGAAAAGAAATTTTAACAAATTGCCACTAGTCCTTTCATATTTCAGTAAAAAGTTTCATAAATTAGTTTAGTCCTTAATTGGGATTAAGCTTATACGAAAATCAACTTTACAAATAATTCGTTTTTCTTATAGGATCGTGGTTTTTAATAGAAATTAATCCGACAAAATTCTTTCATTATTTTAAGGAAATTATCTAACTTAAATCAGGTTATTTTTTCGTAAAAGTTTAAAATATGTTATCAAAATCCGTAATAAGTATATTAACTAAAATAATTTAATAACTATTCAGTGATTATATATATTAAAAAATAAGTATTTCAGTATTATTTTCACAGATAAAATCTTATATATTCATATAATATAATAACAACAATTTATTCTAAGGATTATAGAAGCAAATTTTCATTGAAGATATCATTGATGAAAATAATGACTGCCATATATTCAGCTTTTCTAGAAGACAGTGTTATATGAAAATCGTAAAAGCTAAAATTTTTGAAAGATGAAAATAATGTAAGGAATTGATGGGCGGTCTTCCATTGTGGTTTTTTTTCCAACTAATCTTCTAAGCCGTTTGGATCGTCAGAGGAGCAAAAAACGTCTTAATGGAAATACTACCTGCTGACAGGCGAGCCCAGTAAAAAGATGGTACCTCTAATAACAGAGTTCGCCGACCTTCTTTATTGACCTACAAGATATTTTCATTTCTTGCATCTCAGAAGCGGAGCAAAGCAATCTTACATATCAACTTTGGATCCAGTTAGCGAATATTCTTATCCAAGTTTACATATTATATGCATATATATATATACATATTATAAATTGAATTTACTTTATTTAACGAGGTAATTGTCTAGTTTAATATAAAATTTCTTTCAACGCATTCAACTAGAAGCTTGGTGAGAACAATAAACAGCTCTTTGTTTTACTGTATTAATTAACTGGAGGAAAATTAATTTTGAAAAGTGTCAAGA